GTTTTGTTGCTTTTATCATTTATTTCAATAATAATTGTTTCAATAATAATTATTCAATAATTGTCACATAGGCTTTTTATCATTTTCTTTTTTTCTACTTTCTTTGGATTTACTCTTATTCTCCTAACTTTTTTTAAAAAAAGATTTTATTTATATATATGACAGGGAGAGAGATACAGCGAGAGAGGGAACACAAACAGGGGGAGTGGGAGAGGAAGAAGCAGGCTTCCCACTGAACAGGGAGCCTGACCCGGGGCTCGATCTCAGGACCCTGGGATCATGACCTGAGCTGAAGGCAGAAGTTTAACGACTGAGCCACCCAGGTGCCCCTTATTCTCCTAACTTTTGAACCAATTGCTTAGTTTAATTTTCACTCTTTCTCCCTCAAATCAACACTTCAGCTGCATTCTGTAAGTTTTGATTTGTACATATATGCAATTCAGCCAAAAATATTTTTGTCACCTTCACTAACTCTACTTATGCATACATTCATTATTGGAAGTTTTGACTGGCTTTGTGATTAATTTCTAACTTTATATTATGGTCTGTTGGTAATGTTCTGTTTTCTGTTTTTTTTCTGCATACTCTACAAAATTCCTGTAATATTTGTGTGCTCCTTAGAGCTTTTGAAAGAGATCTCTAGTTCATTTGTTCTATATCACCCATACCAAAATCCCTTTGTTGACAGTTTTAGAGCAAATGTGTATAGGTTCCCCAGAGTAGAAAATCTACCTAACCAGACCTTCCTGAGGTTACCTAACATGTCGATATTCCTCAGAAGTGAAATCTCAACATTGCAGCATCATTCATATTGAAATCATCTGATACTGACTCCCTGTTTTCATTCTCTCTGTTTGAAACTTACCTGGCACCAAAGAATATGAGTCATCAGCTACCCTTTTATAGTGTTTGTGGTATTTAATACTGTTTTAAAACAAATGTGACATCAAAATGGTGAAAATTTTAATCCCAAGATGATGTGAAAGCAGTTTCTTTTAAACGTATTAGATGCTCTACCTGCTTCTGGTATTCTGGTTATAGCTCCTCTATTGGAAGCCTCCAAAGATGACAGTATGTTCCAAGAACTTCCTAAGAACCTTTGGGAAGCTAATGGTGGTGATAGCAGGGCTCATATCTCATATGAACTAATATTAAGTAGTCTTCAAATTAGATGTGAGATACTCCAGGTTCTGTGCAGATATCTCCACATTTGTTTTTGAAGCAAACATCTGTAATCAAGTTACAAACTAGTCCCTAGGAGACCTGTCTCTGCCTTTTGTTGTTACAAATCTGCTTTCGCATTTTGAGTTTGGAAATAAGTTAAGCTCAGGGTGCCTGGGTGGCACAGTTGGTTGAGCACCAGACTCTTGGTTTTGGCTCAGGCTGTGATCTCATGGGTTATGAGAGATCGAGCCCCGAGTCAGGCTCCGTGCTCGGAGGGGAGTCTGCTTGAGGTTCTGTCCCTCTGCCCCTCCTCCCACTCATACATGCACTCTCTAAAATAAACCTTAAAAAAAATAAGTAACATTAATCTCTCATAATCGGTCAACAAATGTATTTTCACTAATTATATCATGGATAGAATGGTTAGACTGTCCCTGTGGTGGGGGTGCTAAGAAAAGGTCAGATTTAGTACCTGTTAAAGAGAAAACAACTACAAAAACTTTTGTTCCAGGTATATAAGGTGTTGAACTCAGTATCTTTTACTTCTCGTATTCATTTCCCTTCTGTATTAATCTAGGTTTTCTAGATAAAAAAACCAACAGTCTCTATCATCTATCTGTATCATGTATATAGATATACATAAAAGAGAAGATTTATTACAGGAACTGGCTCACACAGAGAGGCTGAGAAGTTCCACGATCTGCCATCTGCAAGCTGGAGAACCGCACCAGCGGTGATATAATTCCGTCCCAGTCCGAAGGCCTGCGAACCGGGTGGGGGCGGGGGGGGGGGGCTGACGACCTAACCCCCAATCAGAGACCGAAGGCCCGAGGAGGAGTAGGGGTGCTGCTGGTGTAAATTCCAGATTTCAAAGGCCTGAGAACTGTGAACTTCAGTGTGTGCAGGCAGGAGAAAATGGAAGTCTCAGCTCAAGGTGTGGTTCTAACTTAACCTGTTAACCAAATCCTGGTTTCAGTAACAGAGGCAATGTGTTTTCAAAAGCTGATCAGCAGTATAGGATCCAATGCCCACCAGAATCTCTTAAAATACAGGCAACTGTCAACATTCAGAGTTCCGTGGTTCACCTCTTGGAATGTTTGAGGAATACCACGAATCCCCGATTAACCACCGCCAAAGTCGTAAAAGTTACATCATGAATAGCACCCCTAATTAGGGCCCAACCACCCCCACACACTAACACAGAGGTTATGGTTCTGGTCTTTCAATGACTTCATGTCAGACACTGGTCACATTGAGTTGGTCTTTATTTCACCACAAACTTCCAGAATATCAAAATATGCACAGGTTTTCTCTCTGTTGGAGATTACTAGAACACACCCTTTGAGAGTAGCTAGAATGCAGCTTAAGTCCTTTTTGCCTTTTTAATGTCTAGGTGCTAAAAAGTGGAGTTCACGGGAGCACGGACTCTCAACCTTCCAATGGAAGGCCATTTTCATAATATTGGAAACATGGCTAGACATACATCAAAATAAAGGAGTCAGCTTTAGACTTAATCAAGTTAGAGTTTCAACTGCTAAGTGTTTCAAAAGCAAAAAAAAATTTTTTTTTTCTTCTCACTGAGTAAGGAGAGTTAAGAGCCCTGGGGAGGAGGCTGGTGAAGGGTAGCAGAATGTGCCCCTCCAAAATAGGCCTCTTTGGCACATGGCTTATTTTGAAGTGATTATTTTGTGAAACTGCTGACACAAGAGAAGCTCTGAAAATAAAAGTTATCCTTCTGTAATGGCAATTTACATTTATGAAGAAAATTTACGTTAGAAAGGGAGGCTGTACCAGGAAGAGAGTTACTGCTGGACATCACTTACTCACCTGGTTTATCTTCCAGGCAAGGTCAATCTCACCAAACTTTTCCTCTTCTCATCATCTTCCCCTGAAGTGCAACGCCGTCCCTCCCGCCAGCCCCCACACCCCAACATCCTTCTAAGGTGGGGGCTTGGGCTGTTTCAAGGAGTTTTTCTCAATTTTCCTGGGTATTTCCCATGTATACATGAGGCATGCGTCTTAAACTTGTATTTGTTTTTCTCTTGATAATTTTTTATTACAGGGCATCTCAGCCACAAACGCAGGAGGAGGGAGGGAAAATTTTTCCTCCCCTGCAATGGTTAGGAGTCTTTAGTGGCTCAGGGTTATAAGGTACAACTGCCTCTGGCTTGGGGTTCAGTCCCTCTGGGAGGGGCATGGGCCTCGGCGGCAACCATCTCTACATCCGTACCTCCACTGGCTTCTTCCTGTCCACGCTCCTTTTTTTCATCACGGTTCTCCTTCTCTGGGTTACTCATTCATTCATGTGCTTTAAAGATCTCAAGTAGCCATTGGTAGTATCTTCAACAACAGCCTTATACTGTGGGCCAACGGAGGGAAAACATTCACCCCATTCCTTGAGGGTACTGGCAGGGTACGAAGGTCTATGTTAATACAGACAACATTCAACAATGTTGTCTTATTGCAACAACGCTCGGTGTTGCATAAGACAAACTCCTTTCAGAGATACTATGAGAGGTTAACTTTTGCCTCCCAACATTTTCCCCTTAATTTTGGCTCCTCTGACACATTTCCATTAACAATCTTTCCTGGAGCACATGGGAGGAAGTTTAACCTACCTCCTTCTGTGTCCCTGGCTCTTGTTCCTCATGTCATGTAGCTTCAGGGGAGGATGAGGTTTATTCACAGGATTTACTGTGACATGACAGTACTCCTTCATACTGCATCTGAAGTAAATCCTGTTTATTCACAAGATGACACCTAAGCAACCGTATGTTTATTTGATTCCTTTTAGGTATGCAGGTCTGCATTAACGTTAATGCATTAACACCACCTTTCCCCCCAACCCTCACACATCCATGAACTGTTAAGATAGTGAGCACTATTTTGAGCATTGTTTTGACAAAGAGCATTTTCTCTTTGTTAAAAATATGTACAGCTGGGAAGCAGTCACTAAAAAGGGCAGATTCTACTTTTAAAAATTTGAACTTTCCAAATTCTGTTGGCCTCACATTTAAAGTTCATTCGTGTCAAATGTGCGTAAGTTACACTTTCTCAATGTTTTGCAAATCCCTGTGGAAAATAAAGTGTGTTGAATCATTGAACAGAATACCGAGGGTCACGGGGTTCCAGCCTGAGAGTCTGGATTACTATGGTCATGTCTCGAGATAGCTAACCTGTCTCCAGCAGTCACTCTTTCAGTAATAGCAGCGCCCTCTTACCCAGCTTTTTATTTTTTAAAGATTTTAGGTATTTGAGAGAGAGAGAGAGAGAACGAGGCAAGCTGGGTGGGGGAGCAGCAGAGGGAGAGGGAGAAGCAGGACCCTGGGATCATGACCTCAGTGGAAGGCAGACACTTAATGGACTGAGCCACCCAGGCACCCCTTACCCCAGCTTTTGATTGGGTACCTGGCTGCCTAGTTGGGGACCTTATTTCCCAGCCTCTGTTGAAGTTAGCTGTGGCAGCATGACTAAATTTTGTCCAATCGGATGTAAGCAGAAGTGACACGAGTGACTTAAAACAACACGCATGCCCTGGACTTCTTTCCCTCTTCTGTGGCTGGGAATCAGCGATAAGGAGAGAGCCAAATGGCCAGCCTGGGCCCTAGATAATCCTGTGGGCCTGCTCACTTACCTTTGAACTGCTGAATTTGACAATAACAAACTTCTCTCTTGTTCCAGCCACAGGGTTTTGGATTTTTTGGTCACAGCAGTTTACTCTGCACCTTACCAAGTACAGCTACATAGGCATGTTGTTTCTTTTCCTGATAAGCCCCACCAAGAACCTTCTGCCCACTCAACAGATTTAGATTAAGACAACTAAAAAGCCAAATTTGTGTAATTCAGTAACATTTATTTTACATAAAACAATTTTCAAAGAATACATTTAAAAACCATCTAGATACTGATTTTTATCACATTACAAAAAATTGAGAGGCGCAATTTAAGTATTCAAATAAACTGTGAGGGGTGGAGGTGGGGGCTTAGGGGGGATCGCTACCGTGGTGTTCCTTAGTCACTTAAAGGCTCTGGGAACAAGAGTCTTTACCATGAGGCAGTAGTGCACTTCATTTAGTAGGAATAAATCACATAAAATATATACTTTTATACAGAAAGTGTTACTGTATTATCACTTTCAATTACCTATAAAAACTTCATATTGAATTGCACAAAACTTCTTTAAAATTGGTAACTCCCAGAAGGTAGGGCTTAGAACTAAATATCTGTGTAAATAATTCATTACAAATAATTAGGTTTCTATAACTCCATAGACCAAAAAAAAAAATCTATGAAGAATTAATTATTCAAATGGGACGCTTAAAATTTTTTCATAGGAAAATAAGTTTACAGATTTGTCTCTAGTCAACTAAACTTATTTTCTCCCTACTTTAAAACAAATCACAGAAGGTCCAAAGTTTTAAATCAGAGTACCTATACCACAGTATAATGTGAAAGTGTTTACATTAATTCATTTTTTTGATTATTATACCATAGTATTAAATTATCAAAAAGGCACATGGGTACATTCTTCAGAAGTGTTTTGGTCTTTTTTGTTTTGTTGTGTTTTGTTTTAAAAATCACACATTTATAAGCAGTGATTTCAATCATGTTTAACAACAAAAATATTAAACAGATTCATTTCTTAATCCAGATGATACAGATTCCATGAAATTTCTGTAGGCACTTCACTTTCCATAGAATTTCTTGTTCAGCAGGTATATGAGAAGGTTCACATTCACTTTAACCTTATCAAACATTTTCATGACAGCTACTCCTTCATACTGCATCTGAAGTAAATCCTGAAATTGTGAAGATCATCATTAAATATCAAATTTGACATTTTGCACATTTAAAAAACATTCTCGAACAATCTGTCAACAAAAATAAGATTCAGCTGACCTAACTACGGAGTGTGCATCAAAATCATCCTGTTAAAAACACAAGCTAGTTACAACACAGATCGTTGGGCCCCACCCACCAGAAGTTCTGACTTTGTAGCTTTGGGGTGAGGCCCAAGAATATGCATTTTAACAAGTTCCCATGTGATGATGGCATGGTTGGTCTGAGTGCCATACTTTGAGAATCACTTACCTAAGTGAAAGAAAATAGATTTTTAGAATTCATAAGCACTGTATAACAGAAAACCGTCATCAAATTAATAACAGATACGTAATTATAGTTTTTAACAGAAAAATTCAAAATATAAATATTCAAGCAAGATGGGTTCTAGCCTTTAGAACAGTGGTGTTTTCTAAAGTGGAGCAAGAGGGTCGCCTGGGTGGCTCAGTCGTTAAGCGCCTGCCTTCGGCCCAGGTCATGATCCCAGGGTCCTGGGATCGAGCCCCGCATCAAGCCCCGCATCGGGCTCCCTGCTCGGCGGGAGGCCTGCTTCTCCCTCTCCCACTCCCCCTGCTTGTGTTTCCTCTCTCGCTGTGTCTCTCTCTGTCAAATAAATAAAATCTTTAAAAAAAAAAATAAAGTGGAGCAAGGAAGGCAATTCCTTGGGAAGCAAAAAGAATATGAGAACTATTTATTCTTATTTTTTCTCATTCTTTAAATGTTTACATTTTGTATATATATTTTATAGAGTATAGTAGTAAGGGCATGTATACTTTATAAATAAGTATATACAAATGGGCATAAATGATCATGTTATGTACTGAAGTTGTGTGATAGAAATTTGGAGACCCCTGTATAGAGCAAATCCTTCCTGATTCAAACTATTTCTGTTCCTGTATTGAGAACAAGTCCTTATTCTCAAGTCAATCATTCTGCCACCATATAAACAAAGGAAATCACCTCTTGCTAAAGTTAGTAAATGTGTCACACCAGTCATATGCATGAGATAAACAGCAATGTTTCCTAACACCACAGGACGGGGCGGGGGGGTCTTTCCCAAATAGAAGATATCATTCTTGAATTCCCACAGACTAATACCCAGGACCTCATTTTCTTGTTCCTAGCTCTGGAAACTTTTGGTTCTTAATGATAATGCCTTCTATCTACATTAAGCAAGGCCACTTGCTTAACTTCCATTAAAGAAGTTGGAATCATCTTTGAGAGAACTTTGGCTGTTCCCAGCTTCCTTCTCCACTTCTTCAATTACCTCCAACTGTACTCAGCTCTAAGTAAGAGACACCTGCAGGTGTCTGCAGGGGAATCAGATGGTCCCCCAACGTGGAGAGCAAAGAAAATGACTGAACTTGTGGATGGAAGATCAGATTTGAGACTTAACCCCACCATTTGCTATCTTATGACCTTGCAACATCACACAACCTCTCTGAAGTTCTGTATTGTGTGTGTATGTAAATTGTGAGAACACTGCCTACTTCACAGGGATGCTGTTGGGCACAGGAGATCAAGGTCCCCAAGCTTTTTGTAAGCCACCCATGCCTTGTCAGGATTAACTGGAATCCTGTGAGAGAGGCAATGGAGCTGAGTGATGAAGAACTTGGACTCCAGCTGCCTCTTGGATAACGAGCTCTCTGAACCTCTCAGTTCTTCATCTGGGAAAGGAAGAGAGTCAATCTTGTAGCCCTTGATGAACACTGGCCATTATCTGTGCCAGGAGAACATCCTCACTTAAGTCACACCCTTCTGTTAGCTATACTACCAATACATATAGGATTTAATCAGGATATAATCTTTAGGAACTGAGGAAAGAGTGGGAGAAGAAGACCTAGAAATAATGTTAGAAGCGATCTCCCTTAAATCTCTTACAAATTTCTGTCCTGTTGCCAGTCCTTGTCTCACACTGATGACCTGGCCATCATGTCCTCTGGTAATTCATGTGATAACGTAATTGTCTGAAGGCCTTATGTATAAACAGAAGTCTGACTTTATTATAGCTATTAGATGCAGGGCTGGCTACTGGGGCATTTAACCTGTGCAGGGTCCCATGATCAGTAGGGCCCTGCACTTAGTTTAATGCTCCGCTGTTACTATTTTGAAATTCTCAATAATTCTGAATAAGGGGATGTACATTTTCATTTTGCATCAAGCCCTGCAAATTATGTAGGTAGCCCTGGTGATATATTAATGACTTTAAAAATCTGGGGCCGCTAAGGAGTAACATTTCATAATCAATTACGTGTACAGATGAATGGCGTGAATAGCTAATCCTACTGCATACTGAATCCTTAACAAAGGAGCATGTGAAGCTTGGTATCTGCACCACTGTTCAAAGGAAGTCCCATGGAATTCTTGAGGCCTGTCTGAACAGATGTCTCCTCGTCACTTGGAATTCGTCTGTCCAGTTGATGTTGATTGGCCTTGGGTCATTTCCTTCTTGACAAACACATGATATGTCTTTGCCGCTTCTAGAGAAAAATGACTAACCAAGACAATTCACTTTGGAGCACATTCTTTTCTCTTCCCATATTTATCTAAGTGGTACATAGGGTCACTCAAGCTTTTCAGTTAAATTGTTAGACGGATACATTTAGTGACATTTAAAATAAGGTAGAAAACAATTCTGTTTACTTATATATACTTTTCATAATTACACATTATCTTTCATTTTCTCTCTAGACTCTAATTTACTCCATTATCTCAATGGCCTTATCACACTCACTTAGTTCTAATTTTTCCTTTTAAGCTACAAGGAATGCTAGACAGAAAAGAAGGGATTGGCATCTGCTCCTAGGAGGGGGAAGTCATTTCAGGGCTCTCGGTCACTGGCTCAGCGGGCAGTGAGGCTAGAACTTGTCACTTGCAGGGGCTCATCAAGATGGTTTGTGTAGATACATACAGAGTACCTGGGAACCATTTTACAAGTAATTTGGGACCCAGGTAATTAGGTGTTATTTCCATTTAAAATCTCTTATGTGAAAAAGAAAAACTCAAATACTTTTTTTTTTTTTTCCTGAGAAACAGAGACAGAGACAGCGAGAGAGAGCACAAGTGGGGAGGAGAGGGAGAAGCAGGCTTCCTGCTGAGCAGAGAGCCAGATGTGGGGCTCGATCCCAGGACTCTGGGATCATGACCTGAGCTGAAGGCAGATGCCCAATGACTGAGCCACTCAGGGGCCCCCCAGATACTTCTTTTAACCGATCCTACACTAACGATTAAGAAGAGGTTGGGAGTAAACATTTGGTTGCACACTCCCTTCATTTTCAGTTGTTGTGGTGATTTTTTAGTCGCAGAAATTGGATGTCTCAGTTTCTGTTCAAGTATATTTAGCTTAAATGTGGTTCTTATGAGTAAAAGGCAATAATTCAGACCACGGACACCATTTTCTACTTATAGATAACTATATTGCACAGTCTTTCATTCTTACCATCCTAAGCATTTAACAGATATTTTAAAAAAGATATATTTATTTGAGAGAGAGAGAGAAAGAGAAAGAGAAGGAGAGAGTGAGAGAGCATGCATGTGCGAGTGGGCAGAGGGGGAAAGAATTTTTTAAAAGATTTTATTTATGCATTTATTTGAGAGAGAGAGCGAGAGCACACAAGCAGGAAGGAGAGAGAATCTGAAGCAAACTCAGTGTGCAGAGCTCTATCCTATGACCGACCACAAGACTAGGACCTGAGCCAAAACCAAGAGTTGGACGCTCAACAGATGAGCTACCCAGGTGCCCCCTAAGCGTTTAATTGATTTAATACACTAATGTAAAAGTGATTCTAAGGAGAAAGAAGGAGAAATGAGGTCAGGAAAGTTCCAATCCTGGGCATATGTAGTCTGAGAAAGAAATCCAAGTTCCTAAGAAAAGAAAACTTGCCAGCTTTCATAGCTCTCAATGAGAGAGCAATTTTATACTATGTTTACCCTCTAAGCTTCAAAATGGAAACATGCCTTAGAAACACTGACCACTGTGGTTTGCCATCTAAAAGCAGTTTGAGTTCTAATATTTTGAAAAATCAGAGCTTTTAAAAAAATCATCAATGCTTAAAAAGCTAATATTGGCAAATAAGGCTTGCAGGGGTCTTCCGGTGAACCTCACTGTTACGAAGGGTAGAAGCCAGGGGAGGCATAAACGCCCCACATTATAAAACTCACCCCCACTTTGCAGAAATCCCAGCTTACCTGAATATTGAGCTGTACCTTTTCCATCTCGACACCAAGGAATTTTGATCTGACATCAAAGATGCCCACATCTTCAGTAGATACGATATCAAATGTAACATTTTTAAACCTAATGAAGAAAGGGACACTCACACATGTGGAACTGCAAATTTATGTGTAAAGCTGACACCAGTTAATGGAATCCTTAGTTACCAGGCTTAGTGCAAGGTCCACAGGGAAAACCCTAATCCCCAAAACCTCCTATCATACCCCTTCCCCACTCTGCTCACTAACCTAGGTTTGATGGTTCTTTTGGGACCGTAGCTGAGAGCACTGAAGTAGGTCCTTTATTATAAAAGAAATGCTATTAAAATGTCATCCTTGTTCTTAAAGATCATAAAATATAGTTGGAAATAGGAGGTTCACAGAATGTGAGGATTAAATATTGAATTGTACTGCTGAGAGGATGGTTGAATTTTATTTTATTCTACTTTACTTTACTTTATTTCATTTTAAAGTAGGCTCCATGCCCAACGTGGAGCCCAATGTGTGGCTTGAACTCACGACCCTGAGATCAAGACCTGACCGAGATCAAGAGTCAGACGCTTAACCGACTCAGCCACCCAGTTGAATATTATGGATGACGTCTTTTATAGAAACCACAAAGATGAGGAAGCATGTTCTCTGAGTGGGTGTAGTCGAGAGAAGGTCTGCTGGGGTTAAGTGGAATAGAGACCAGTTCTGGAGAGAAGGGAGGAGTTGGAGAGAAGGGCACATGGGGAGTCTGGCTCCCCTCCAACAGTGATGGGACACAAGGCTCATGGTCCCTTTAACACAGAGAACCCACTGGCACGTGGTACGGGGCTGCAGCGGAGGGTTTCCATTTTCCCCTCTAGGTCAAATACACACACCAACAGCACACCGCAGATGGCTCTGACCCAGGTGCTAGCACACAATCTGTGGCTTTGAAATGAGAAAGGTACTATTTCGCACTTGTAAAAAACTCTTATCATTCAAGACCAAAAGACAGCTTTTCATTCTCACTGATATGACTCAGTTCTTTTGGTGGGAAAGGGGAAGCTGGCAAATCCAAACACACCGGACCAGCCATGGGAAACACAGTGACCCACTCGGTACTTCCTACAACCCACAGCACCAGATGTTTGGGGTCTGCTGGGAAGACTAGACACCAAATGAAGCTCTCTTCAAAGGCCACAGGAAACCTAAGAGAAGGGAGTCGGATTTTATGGGAGTGATTAGAGGGCGCCTGTGCTCTGTGTAGATTCTGGGTCACACTCACTGGTTTGTTTGAAGGTCGTCTATCCCCAGGAGGACACCTTTCTCATGCAGCTTTGCTGCCGTGTACCTCACCGGCTTAGATCTCTTTGCCCCTTTGGGTTCTCCTTTTCCATCTAGTTTAATGGATCTTCGAGAATTTCTGACAAAAGAAGAATAAATTGTCTGTTGTCATGATGGCAAAGTCAGAGGTTTCGGGTGGTGCAATAACCCTGTCAGGGTGCCCGCCACTGCTCACACTGAGCTCCACTGCCCTGAATATGAAACTTTTTATTTTGCGACAGTTAAGGTGAGATTTTCCGAGATTTTGCGGTAGTAGGTGACACTCTTCCCTAGACCATAAAACCTCACTACTGAAATATAAGAGAAAGCTATTTTCAAAGTGACTGAAGTTTGAATTACAGACTAACATTTTTCATAAAACTTGTCCTCTATTTTCTCAGGCATGTCGAAACACGTGGCTATACTAAATCATTCTGCAAGCAGTTTTGGTTCATTAATCTGAATTGCATACTTCTAAGTAAAGGTATTACTAAGATTTTTTAGTTTATTTAATAAATACTATGTGGCCAGCAATGTTCTAAGTACTTTATGAATATTGCCTCGCATTTGCAAAATTGACATTTCCATAGTGCTTTGAAATAAATAAATTCCTTTCTTATTGTTTCATTTAGCTCTCATAACAATGCTTGTGAAGCTGGTACTCATGCTACGTTAAAGATGAGAAAATTGAAGTTCCAGAGACGTTTACTGGGCTGGGTCACCAATCACACAATCTAAGAGGAAATTAGAATGCAAATCCAGCTCACCTAACTGCAGAGCTTGTAAAATGCCTTCAAGTAGTTGCAATAAATATGTAAACCCCCCCCCCGCCCAACAACCCTATTGAATCTACTGGGTATTATTAGCTTGATCAACTTCTTCTTCCCAGGAACAGAGCAAAAGTAATTTACAGGCTGCAAGCAAATGAATTAAAATTCAGAGCTGGGGGGGCCCAAATAGATGCGGTTTAAATTTGCTTATCTCCCTTCATCAAATCTTCTATGATTAATGCAATTGGTTTTCCCGTACAGCATCATTTCCTACTGTTAATTTGACTACATGGATTACATGAAAATATTGCATTACATATTTAAATGGGTAATTAAAATTTGATTAGTATCAACCTTAGTCTAGGAGTAAGAACAATTATGAGCAAAGAATACTCATTAAAAGTGGCTACGTTGCATATAAAAAAATCTGTAATATGTATGCTAATGGATAATAGGAAACTGCCAAATTTTGTCTTCTATGTCAATAATATTTCTTTAAACCCGTAAGCAATTTTAAAGGTTTTTAAAATTTATTTGAGAGACAGAGCAAGCACGGGTGAGGGGGGGTGGTTAGCGGAGGAAGGGCAGAGGAGCGAGAGAATCTCAAGCAGACTCCGTGCTGAGCGCAGAGCCCAATGTGGGCTCTACCTCACAACCCTGAGATCATGACTTGAGCTGAAATCAAGTCAGATGCTTAACTGACTGAGCCACCCAGGGGCCCCACTAAGCAATTTTAAATCATTAAGCTGCATTCGTTGTTAGCAAACACCTGGAGTTATCTAACATTAATATCATTTACTGTAAACATTCAAAAAACAAGAGCAGTTTAATTTTTATCATAGTGTTCAAAGACACCTTTGACTAAAACAAAGGAAAAAGAGGGTGCTTCCCCAGTTGTTAAGGCTACTGGCTTAAAATACAACAAATTGAGCTACTCAAATTCCAATGCTGATGGGCAATTCAAAAGTTCCCAAATGCACTTCTGACTTCTTAGATCACAGCAGCAAACCACAAGATTGAGTTTCTAGTGTTTGGTTATAAAATAAAGCAAGCAGTTTGCTTCCAAGCCCCGCTGTCCAGGACTGTAGCAGAACGGACACCCCTATACACCAGGACCCCACAAATGGATATAGAAATTTAACTTACCTTCTTTTTAAGTTGTCTAAACAAGTCTTTATGTAGGTGTCATAATAATTAATCTGCTCTTCATAAAATGCCGCCTTCTCATTGAGTGCCTTCAGGGTCTGCTGAAGTTTGGCCAATTCAGCTTTTCGAAGCTTACGATGTATTCTTTGATTTCGAATGTCCTAAAAGAACAAGTCAAGGCTATGATACGAGATTTAAGAAGCTGACTTTATGATGTTGCCAATGTGGGACAAGGAGAATGTGGACTATTGAATCCCTGTTTGTGACCATATAGCTTCCCTCAGTGACCTTCATCTCTGATGAAGGTCACCAAAGCGCCCCTCCTTCCTTGCTTATACTTCAGACTGGCAAGTGTCCATATTTCACTTTAACAGAGTTGCTAAGGTTTATTTTTTCCTTGATGGAAAAGCAGACAAGCATTTTTGGAATAACCATACAATTAACCTAAGGAAAAATAGTGTTTCAAGAGGGGCCTAAGGAAGACTTTCCTAGGAGACAGCAATTTCTTCAGAATGTGTTCAACGTTCCACTTGGAAGAATACTTCACCTGGAAAGGTTTACATGTAATCAGCGCATTCCTTTTAGAAATGAGTAAAACAAAGAAACAAACAAACGAAAAACAATGTACTTTTTAATCTGAGAAATATTTCTCAAGGTTTCCAAAAACAACTGAGCTCTCAAGATTGATGGGAAAGATATAACTCTGGTAACTATTCCTTGGATTTAAATAGAGTTCGGAGAACATTAAGTTGTCCAAACTGCTTACAACTTACAGGAGCTAGGCTATATTTAAACTTACAGGCATAAGATTTATTTGTACATCTAACGGGTAAATCACGAAAATGTTTCATTTCAGAAAATGGCGCTTGTTTACTATGACTTTCCTTATGTGGACAAATTAAAACACATTCGCCTAGGAATCCAGATAGACATGCACACACCCTTAAATAACAATTCTCCAGTAAACAGAATCTTTTGGAGGATGCCTTCATGGTAGACCTTTTTTTTTAAGGCAAAAGCATTCATTTCTCTACTAATTATTCCCAGAGAGCAATATTTTCCACCCCAGAGCTATGGAAAGAAATGTGACTTCCCTTGAGTCACTTAGGCTAGGAGGACTAAGTCTACTGCTCTAAGTGACCATAACTTTCCATGGAAGAAAGAAGCAGAGTTGATTTTCCACCAAGAAGGTGAGAACATTTTCTTTTTTCCCCTGACCACTTAACTGCCTTTAACCTCCAGACCCATTTTAATTGGCATATTTGGATAAAAAGAATGAAATGTCCTTTTGATACAAATATATACTTCCTTATCCTTGGCAAACAGATCTTAGCCATTTCCTGTGATGCTTCCTCACACTAATTTGAGATCCTTTTCTCAGGAAGTTTCCCAACTGTAAAAATATGGGATGAGAAAACAGAAAGCACCCTTGAGGACTTAACTGCATTTAGGCTCAACTGCTCAGAGGCACATTCTCAGGGACACAGAGTTAATATCTCCCAGTGGCAGGTCCTAAGAGCAACTGGGCTATATGACAACTAACAAGAGAGAACTCTCATTGAAGTATCATTTTTATTTTAAAACTAGTAAGTATTGGGGTGCCTGGCTGGCTCACTCGATAGAGCATGTGACTCGATCTCAGGGTTGTAGGTTTGAGCCTCATGTTGGGTGTAGAGATTACCAAAAAAATAAAATCTTAAAAAAACCCCCAAACTTAGTAGGTATTGCTTAAAGGTATAGATGAGACTTGTCAATTAAATTTCCTGAGCATTTATTTCTGGTGTGTGTCAAATGTCCTAATGACTTGGGGAAGTTGTGAGTTTTTTCTATTAAAAGTCATCAGTGGGGTGCCTGGGTGGCTCAGTGGGTTAAGTGTCTGCCTTTGGCTCAGGTCATGATCCCAGGGTCCTGGGATCGAGGCCAGCATCGGGCTCCCTGCTCAGTGGGAAGCCTGCTTCTCCCTGTCCCACTTCCCCTGCTTGTGTTCCCTCTCTCGCTGTCTGTCAAATAAATAAAATCTTAAAAAAAAAAAAAGTCATCAGTGGCTTTGAAGCCTTTGAAAATCTATAATATTGATCATGGCAATACAACTATGAATTTGTTATGTCACCTCAGAGAGTGCCTAGCATGTGACCAATGATGAGCAAATGTCTGCTAAGTGAAGAAGGAAGAATACTATTTCCAAAAACCTTGGCAATCTCATTGAGAATGTCTTGGTATTTATTCTTGGATGACACGTGTCCAGTTTGTTCCAAAGTCCTAAGATTCCTCTGGATTTTCCTTTTCTTCTGCTCCAGGGGTAGCTGTGCATCTTCAACCATAGACTGACTATGCTTCATTTCTTCTGGAGCCTGGGAATCTATAATTGCACGGCTCACCATATCTTTGGCATGATCTGTTTCCTGAAAAGGGAATATCAAGATGTTGACTTTTCTCTGATTCCCCAGTCTCACAAATTCATAAACTGTACAAGACAAGTTAATGTCAAAATAAAAGAAGTCTCAAGTCAGAGTCCGAAGACCAGAATCAGCTTATGTTCTTCACAGAATTTGAATAGGTCTTTGGGAAGGGATTATCTCATCTTTTTGAGAAATATAGCAATGGGGGCAGGCCTACTTTGAGCAAAATCTCAATGGCTAATTTAAAGCTAAGATGAGAAATCACCTTAGTAATGAATATATTATAGTGGATAACTGATATTTTCGAATTCCCTGGATGGAAGTATTTAATTCCTGGACAGTTCAGCTGAGGAAACTAAAACTACATTATTCGTTAAAACTCAGCTATGAGAACACCCTAAACATCCAGAACCCAACTGAACTCTCACACATCAGCCGTATTTATGGAGATTGGTAAGCCATGAGGGCAGAGACCTTTATTTTAATAAGGGAATAATTCTCAAACTATCAACTCTGAAAAGCCTGCAGGGTGTCCTTGAACCAAAGGGAATAAGAATATTTTAGTTCATACTAAGTTCCCAAATAACTGATTAGTAAATGAATGAATGAATAGAATTTGGACAGGTTGTTCAAAAACACAGTAATTAAAGGAGACCGGTGATCTTCCCATTTCATTTTATTAGACAACTGATTGACACAATATAAAGTCTAAGGATACAAATATTATTAAAAGACAGATAGATTAATATCATCTATGCAGGAATAGTTTACAGGTCAGCAGTCAACATTAACAGCAGCACTTAATGTGTTATTGGACACCTAGTATGTGTCAGTTACTATTCTACCCACTTAACATGTTTTAAATCATTTGTTCTTGCTGTGAATTAAGCACCATTATCATTCCCTTTTATAGTTGAGGGAACTGAGGCAGAGAAATCCTTTTAAGTGCCTAGAATTACAGAGTTAGGAGGTGCAGGACTATACTTGATCTTGGAAGTCTGCATTCTTGTGACTATGCTACATTTGAGGAAAAATTAAATATTCAATAAGGACTAAAATTCTCTTACCAAATTAGGATGTTCCACCCACATTGTTTAAAAATATTCACACATTAACAAACACCAGATAACTTGGTTTCATTCCATATGTTTTGTAAATTAGAGATAGTAATTTCTTGGCAACCAATTAAATGAAGAATGATTCAGGAATGGGGTGCCTGGGTGGTTTTAGTTGGGCGTCCCACTCCTGATTTCCGCTCGGGTCATGATCGCAGGGTCATGGGATTGAGCCCTACGTCGGGCTCCGTGCTCAGCGGGGAATCTGCTTGAGGATTCCCTCTCTCTGCCCCTCTCCCCATTCACATGTGCACTCTCTCAAATGAATGAGTGAATCTTTAAGGAAAAAAAGAATGATTCAGGAAAATTATGTGCAGCTCTGCTAAGAAGTATCTAATTAGATAATTTTGTTAACTTTTGTTTAGCAAGGGATAATTATTGATACAAAAGCAATAGCAGTGAATTAACTTAATTCAGAATGAACTAAATAAATAATGATGCATTTTAAAAGATGTTGATAACAACTTTATTGCAAGATTGTTAAGAACCTTTAGTTACTTACAGCACGATTACGGTGCTCTGACCTGATGGACTCAAGACATTCACTTCTGAAGCATTTGGAAAACAGTTTTAATGTGTGAGACACTTATTTCAATTTAGCAAATACGTAAGATACGAAAGGTATTTTTCTACATCCTATTGACCAGAACTATCTTTTAACTGACTTATCTGCCCACCCACTATATAAGGTTTATGATGAACATTCAGAGGCTTTAAAAGACCTAGTCTAGGACAAATTTACATTCAGCATACGTTTGGTGCTGCATTTTATATTTCATTCCCATTATAGGGATTTTATACTTATGACTGAACTCAGCTGGCCAGAGTAACACATAAATTTCCTTACTTCCAAACCACGTCAGTTACGTTGTCTTTGCAGTAACAGTAAACACTGGACATGAAGATTAAGGAAGTCAACTCACATACGTGGTACTTATTATTTTACACTCAAAGACCAATTACCTGTTGTGTTGTTGCTGGTGTCTCCAAGATTTCTGTCAATGTGTTCCCTGGTTGGTTCCGGATCACATCAATTATCAGCTTTTTGGTCCTTACAAAATTGAGAAGAGACAGACTTTCAGACAGCAGTCCCCCTCATGTACAACAATCTGCTTCTGCCCTATGCTTCTCTGTACGTGTTACACGAACGCATACAAAAATGAAGCTTCAAAGATAATCCTTTAAAACTGAACGGTCTTTCAGAAATTCACATCTGCTCTGAGGCTCCTGCAAGTTTGCGAATGCTTGATATTCAAGGTCTGGGTTTTACATACTGGATGTTGTGGGATTATGCTGTCAGTAACAGGGGGCAAGTAAGTCAGTAGATTCCTTCTCTAAGTACATTTTCTTCTTTTTAGACAGAGACTACTTTGGATGAGCAGGAGGGACATGCTGCTGATATGACCTGCTACTATAGAGGACGCAGGAATGATATCTAATATCCTCTCCCCTTTCCTGACTTAACTAACTTTAAGCTTCTGAGCCTCTTTAATACTTTATAAGCCTTTAGGAGCCAGTCCAACGGTTACTCTTCCTGGTCTGAGAAAGGTATGGAACAGTTGGAAGGCCAGTGGGAGCAGCAGTCCCAGGTGGGCTGGGGCGGCTTTGGCTGCCGGCTGACACAACAGCGAGGTGGATGGTGTTCAAGAACCTCAGGTCTGGTGGACGAGCCAACAGATGGGCTTGCGTCCTTGTCTTCAGATGGCAGAAAATAGAGGAGCTGCTCAGTAAAACGTTAACAGCTAGGAAACTCCACCGAAAGCGCTAAAACCATAATACTTTTTCACATGTGTCCTTCATGGCAATCCTACACAGAGATCAGGTTGTGTAATGATGTAAAAAGATTTCAACATAAAAGGCAAAGAGTCAAGTGTGTGTACTTTTACATGAGTGGGAAAATTATTATTGGATATAGCTTCCTTTCCAAAAAATAGAGACATAAAAAGAAGCTGCCTTAAATTATAAACAGGTCTAACTGATGACTGAAGTTTCACTGTTCTTGCTGCTCGGTTGTATTTAACATCGTTTCTTTCAAAGGCATTGCGTGCCATCACTGGATGATGTCTTTCTTCTTCATCTACAGCAGGAAATGTTCACATGGCATGAAAATGGGAAAATGAAAACAAAACACTGTTCATGTTTTGAATCATCAGGGCAAATGACAGAGGAAGCCCTCAAAGTGAAGTCCAAATACCTTATTTTTGAAAATAGGATAGAATCCAATAAGCCATCTGTAAACATTATTTTTGTCATTTCTTACTTACTGCAGGTCTGTATGAGAAGAATGATTACAGCCATTTCCTCTGACCCATGACCTTTCACTGCTGGGGATTTACAGGCTGTCTGGGAATGTCCAAACAGTCCCCCGAGAGTCCAAGGTGGACACACAGCTAATTATAGCCATGCGGGAGAGGGCACTGTTCCTAAGGCGGCTGTAGCTTAGAGAGCCAAGTCTCGTTTCCTCCTTACACGACTCCCTCTTCCAATCATCATTAATGTCTTCAACAGGAACATCAAGTTAAAAATAAAAGCACTGGATGATTTTAAAAATGTCAACACAGTGACAGTTTCATATTTGAAAAAAATATTCTAGGAACCACTTATGATCTATCTTTCCAGAAAACTCCCAGCTCATTTCTTTAGAGAGGGTATCTGATGACCAAAATGACCGGGGTCAAATAAAGCGTGCCCTGCCAGGGACAAAGAATGTTTGTTTGTTAAGGAGTCGCTCAAGGACGAACTGCCTACACTGCGTCTTTCTCTTTGAATTCAACTTTATGTCAAGCCTGTGGAATCCACTTGCCAAAGTTCCACCCCAGACATCTTGCATGTAAGTAACCATCCTGTTTCAGGACAGGGAACTCACTATCTCACCCTGCAGTATGCCTAATGGTTAAGGGCACTGGGATCAGATAGATCTAAGGTCCATTTGGGGCTTCTGTGGCTTACTAGTTGTGTGGACTTGTACAAATTATATAATCTCAATGAGTCTGTTTTCTCATTTATAGAATCGGAATCTCTCAGAGGACTTAGTGGGGACTGGATGAAAAGTCCCACGTAAAGCCGCTCACTGAGGTCTGACATGTGGTAAGCGTTCACGTGGTCATGAAAGCTTCGCCACCCAAGGTGGCAGCCACCGGCTACAGGTGGCAATGGACTACTTGAAACATGGCTAGTCCAAACTGAGATGTGTTACAGGTGTAAAACACACACCGGATTATGAACGTTTAAGTATGAAAAAGTTAACAATTTCTTACACTAATTACACAGTGAAGTAATAAAATTTTCAACATATTGGATTAAATAAAATATACTGGAATTAATCTCACCTGTTTCTTTTTAAAATGTAATTTCTAGAAAATTTAAAATTACTTGTGTGGCTCGTGTTGAATTTATTTTGGCAAGTGCAACACTGGAACATTCCATTCTTACACAGGCAGCTCACTCTGAGACCTGCCTTCCAGTGAATCCCAGCCACTGGACCTGGTTAGTCATGGGACTTCAGGACTGAGGGGAATCTTTGGGAAATAGTCCAATCCCTGATTATACAAATGAAGCAACTAAGATGTAAGAGGCTCGAGAGTTATACAGAGGTCACACTATTTTCTAGAGTTGCAAAAAACAAGTTGAATTCACTTTCCATATCATCAGTCCCTCACAAACCTGCAGAGAGGGGCCAAAATTGTGTCCCCATGCCCCACCCCTTTCTTTTTGCACATGAAACCTGCAGTTCCTTAAGCCTCTTCACAACAGGATTTAAACAGAGTTCATAGTTTTGCTCCCATCTGTTTGCCAAAGAGCTTAAGATGTGTCCCCTCCTCACCCCAGTGCAAACACAATATTCTAGATATGGTCTAACCACCACAGATCAACTAACTGGGTGGAGAGGACTGGCTCCCTGGCTGTTCAAACAATAGGTAAGACAGGCCAATCAAACCAAGGACTTTAATTCTGAGGAAGAATTAAGAAAGAAAGGGAGTTTGTTCATCACAGCTGTGTTCAAATCCTATTGTTGGTAAATGAGACCACGTGGTGCTTGTAAACTGGTGTGACCTCTTAGATTTGGCCATTCCGCTCATGTGGCATCTTTTATGATGCCCTGACCGGTAGGATCACTGAGCCTCCCCCTCTGCCATCTGCCTTACAGTTTGTCCAAGTCTGAAAAGGAATTCATGTTTGTGCAATCTAAGGAATATTTCCAGTTGTTTACAATTCTTTTAACATGATTACCCATTTTTATCACCAGACAGCAAATATCACCTTAGCCATTTAGTGCCCATGTGAGTTTGTACCAAAAGCAAAGCAATCTTTCACGTGGGATGATAGATGCCTCAACTGAATCATGGGATAGGAAAAAAAGTTCTCGAGAAACGACAACTGAAGCACCCGGGCAGTTAAGTTTGATTAAAACCACAAACGGTGACTTCTACCAAAACACGCAGACTTCTGTAGAAAAACAAGCTTAATAAAGATCATGAGGATCACATTTTTTTTTAAAAATAAGCTCTACGTTCAACATGGGGCTTGAACTCATGACCCCGAGATCAAGAATCACTTGCTCTACCTACTGAGCCCACCAGGTGCCCCAAAGTTCACATATTTTAAGTAGAATCATGAGTTATAAATAACGAGAGAGACTTAGAATTGTGTAGTTTTCTGTAATTTATACAGTGTTAATGCGTGCCTTCTTTGGCTCATTGTGTCCCTTCCTTCCCTTCTCCCTCTGCCTTCTTCCCCATTTTAGAGATGAGGAGACTGATGCTGAGGTGACTTGCTCGGAGTTCTATGGCTAGTAAGTGCCAGATGGAGGCTGTAACCCCAGGTCTCCCCAGGAGGTCTCAACCAGGATTTTCTGGTTTGTTTTTAGCATCGGCAGGGTTGGTAGTATTGGCAAAAGGGCAAAAGCCCAAACTGAGGCTCCTCCTTCCATATACATAAGAAGGGAAATACAATGTTCTTCCTACCCCCATCTGTGCCTTCATGGCCCTCCCATCGATCGGTCATTCTTTCTCTCTGGCCTGGAAAGATGCCCCAGCATTGGTTATGAAGTAACTGCGCTGCTATCATTCTCATTATTTATTCTAAGATTCCCAAGAGTACAAAGAGCCTTGCCCTCAATGAGCTGTAAAATCTTGTGAGGGCAGGCCCTGGAAGAGTTAAGATCATCTGAGTTCGAATTCTGTTCTCTACTTACTAGCCATATTATCTAGGAAAGAGTTTTTGTCTGTTCTGTGCCTCTATGTAAAATATAGGTAATCACCTCTACCTCTTATGGTTGCTGAGAGTATAAAATGACAAATTTCATAAATATGTATATATATCTATAAATCATATCTATGGAATATTATATATATAATGGGATATATATGTATATAATACACATATATGTTATTATCTATCTGAATCTGTAAGATAGTCCCTGTCACGTGGTAAGCACTTCATAGGTGTTTTCTATCATCTTCAGCTAATCGTTAAGAATTATAAAGCTAGCATGGTATAAAGTTACTAGCATAAGTCCTGCCCCCATGGAGATGAGTTACTCATCACTGTAAGGCTAGTTATTTTGTAATTAATCATAAGAAGACATTTCTGAAAGTTAAAAACACAACCTGTTGAAAGAGGAAGCAAAATGGATTTTTTTTTTTTGATAGAGAAAAGCCAGGTATTTTCATGTCCTAAATGCTCTGCATTCCAATGACTGTCCATTTCATACTACCTTCTGAAAGGCACTGTCTGATTTCAGTTAAATTTGGTTCTGAAATGAAGATCTCCAAGAACTATATATTATGTTTGAATTAGGAATTTGGTTTATTAGCTTGGAAAAAAGACATCCCCATAAGAGTTTTCAAATCAGTATTTAAAGAGTCTATTAATGGAATATCCATGATAAAGGGCTTCTGAATTTAAAGCATGTCAGTGACTAGCTACTTGCTTCCCATAATTTTAGGCTTACGTTTCCTCACCTCAAAGATACAGATGTGGACTAGATGGTCTCTAAGCTTGCTATCACTGACACGTCTTATAATTATCTATTATTGGCAAGATTTCCAAATACATACCTCAAGTATAATGTCTTTGAAAGTAAGGTTTGCCTAATATCATGGAGCTAATTCTATTGAATCTTGTGGGCAATACCCAAATTCCACTCTCACAGAAGGTCACCTGGTCAATCGCTGTTTCAGGTCGTCATCCCACACTGACCACTGACTGAGCTGCTTAGTGAAGGGCTCTGCCTACAGCCGGATCTCAGAGTATGCCCAGAGGAAGGCTGTCTAGACCCTGGAGGTCTAGGAAAGCAGTGAATTATTAAGAATTATTAAAATACCAGCCCAAAAGCCTTTCTATAGAAATGAGAAAGTTGATTGTACAATTCACACCGAATTGCAAGGAACCCCAAGTAACCAAAGGCTTCTTGAAAAAGAACAAGTCAGAGGACTTACCAATTTCAAAACCTGTTACAAAGCTACCGTGATCAATGCAGTGTGGGGCCAGGATAAGGACTGATACTAAGATGCAGGGCACCTAACTGACAGTCCAGGAAGGCACACGTGTGTGGTCAGCTGGTGCTCGACAAGGAAGGGTACCTTTGTACCTTTGAGTGCATTTGAGAAAAACAGTGTCTTTAATAAATGGTGGTAAGATAAATGAACATCCACATGCAAAAAAAAAAAAAAATGAAGTTGGACGACTGCCTTACACCACACACAAAAATTAGCTCAAAAGGGATAATACACCTAAATATAAAAGCAAAACTTATAAAACTCTTAGAAAAAAACATAGGAGTAAATCTTCATGACCTTGGATCAGGCAATGATTTCTCATATATGACACGAGAAACACAAGTAACAACAAAAAATAGATTAACTGTCCTTTGCCAAGTTAAAAAACTTTTGTACATGAAAGAATATTACCAAGAGAATAAAAAGACAACCCACTGAATGGGAAGAATATATGCAAATCATAAATCTGGTAGGGGTCTGCTATCCAGAATACAGAAGGAACTCTTAGAACTCGGCAACAGAAAGACAAACAATCCAATTAAAAACGGGGCAAAGGACTTGAGTAGACATTTCTACAAAGAGGGTACAGAAATGGCCGACAAAGACACGGAAAGACACTGAATGTTATTAATTATCAGGGAAATGCAAATCGAAGCTATGATGAGATACCACTTTATACACACTAGAGTGGCCATAACAACAACACAAAAGAGAAATTAAGTATTGGTGAAGCTGTGGAAAAACTGGAACTCTTATACCTTGGTGGTGGGAATATAAAATAGTAAAGCTACTGTGAAAAAAGTTTGGCAGTTCCTCAGAAAGCTAAATTTAGAATTACCTTAAGACCCAGCAATTCCACTGCCAGGTTTACAACCAAAAGAACTGAAAACATGTTCAAATAAAAGCTTGCACACCAATGTGCATAGCGCTGTTAGTCACAATAGTCACAAGGTGCAAACAACCCAAATGCCCAGGATAAATGTGGTATATCCATGCAATGGAATATTATTCAGCCAAAAACATTGTGTGGAGTCAAAGAAGTCAGACGCAAAAGGCTATGTAGTGTATGATTCCATTTATATGAAATACCCAGATAGGCAAGTTCACAGAGAGAAAGCACCAGGGAGCAGGGAGCAGGGAGCAGGGAGCAGGGCCTTGAAAGATGTCCTGGGGTAGTGGGGAGTGACTGCTTAATGGGTACGAGGTTTACTTTTGGGGTGATGAAAATGTTCTGGGACTAGAAAGTAGTGAAGGTTGTGTAAAATCCTGAATGTACTAAGTACCCCTGAATTGTACACTTTAGAAGGTTAAAATGATAAATTTTATGTTATGTGTATTTTACTACAATAAGAAAAAATGAGTGGCTCTACTTAGTATGGTGATTACAGGAATAGACAGCATTTGGTTCCTGTACACAATGGGGAGCTGTGAAAGAGCCCCAAAAGGGCTGAGGCAGGTAGGACAATGGACCAGGTTTCTCTAGCTAAGACATATGGCTGCACAACAGGCCTGACTTACATGGTTTTGCTTTTAAAATGAATTCCAAAAGTTCACAGACCCATGGAGACTCATTCAGAAACAAGTATAAATATATATAAATACAGGATATTGAAATTATGTGATATTTTAGACTACCCACATTGTGATTTCCATTCATTAATGCACATATTTGAGTTGACTGCCTTTAGAAAATGTTCAAATAACAGACCAAACCAATTACGAGAAAATTTCTTCCCATTACTTCTAAGGACAAAGCATATGAGATCATAGGATGCTTGGCCTCATTTAATTTTTGTTTTTAAAGATTTTATTCATTCATCTGAGACACAGAGGTACAGAGAGAGAGAGAGAGAGAGCATGAGCAGAGGGAGAGGGAGAAGCAGGCTCCCTGCTGAGCCAAGAACCAGAAGCGGGGCTTGACCTGAAGGCAGACACTTAACCATCTGAGCCACCCAGGCGCCCCATTGGCCTCATTTAATCTGTATGGCAGAACCACACAATCTGCATTTTCAGTTACCTTTATAATTGGCACTTTCTCCGAGGAACCCAGAGAACAGACTGCACAGTTCCTCCCTGCCCTTCTCTATTGCCCTGCCCTGTGTTGTCTCTCTGCAAATTCAATCTGACTTGCTCCTCAGTAGTCTAAGGAACTGCCTTCACCTCTTCTGAGGGCAAGGTTGTGTAAGAGTTCCAGCTTGGCCTCTGTCCTGCTCCCCACTGGCAGACTTCAGACCCCCGGAGGGCAGAGAACTTTAATGGCTTGCTTACTGCTGTCTCCCCAGCATCAAGCCAGGGCCATGGACACAGAGCAGGTACTGAAGATTTGCTACACGCCTAGATGAAGCCTTAGATAATCTGAGCACAAACTAATGAAGCCGAAGAGAAGAAGCACAGGTTACAACATAGGACACTAAGTGTTTTTTTTTTTGCCATTTTAATGGATGATGATGACTATCCGGAAAAAAAATTAACTGGAGATGAGCACTGTTTGAATCCCGTCAGGGGCAGGAAGGAAAGCTCTTGTTACAAATGAAAACCACCTCAGAACTCAGGACATGCAACTTGGAAGTAACGTGTGAAGTATTATTTAAATACATAATTATTCCATTTTGGCCCTATTTCCCACTTCCATTCTCCACCTCAGTCTCATACACAACTGACTTAACATGCACCCTTTTGTTTATGTAAGTTCTTAAAAACCATATTGTTTGGTGAGCATATGTTTTGGTTTATGGTGTTTTGATTTATGGTGATGGATCTCATTCTTTCTTATTCTGTGTGTAAAGGACTGGTGTGGAACATCCAGAGGCCTTGACGTAAACAATGCAGTAGAAAAGCATGAATGCTTCATTGTAAATGCTCAGGGGCAGGAACCAGGGTATAAGTCAAAGCTGGTAAACATATCCGGGCTTAGTGTAATAGGAAAGAAGGTTAATAAAGCAAATGACAGTGTTAGGTCTTACCATGGTGTGCCTTTTGTTATTAACACTGGATCCCAGACATTAAGTATGGTTTCAAGTATTTCCTCATTAATCTTTTTACCACTCTGAAACAGGTATTTCCCTTTAGTTACCTAAGGACTTTTACAGGCAGAATTAATCACTTTGTTTCTTAAAAGAAAGGAATCAAATTGCTACATGGAAAACTGAAAAACAGGATAAGCTTTATAAACTATTATAATATTTAGTTCCCTCTTAAATGATAAGTAGTCTGTTATCCTTTGGTCAGATGTTTGATGAATAAACAACATATTTCGATATTTAGATACATTAAAACGAATTATTTGGGGATTCAGCCTATTTTAATTTGCATATTTTAAGATGCATAATCGGAGACACAATGTGCCCATTATGCCCCAAACTTACTTTATCATGAGGCTTTGGCCATCTATAGCTTCACCGTCCCCTAGGTCATACTTGCTTGTCAAATAAAGGGAAATCTCAATCTTTGAGAGCTGATTTAGTGTATTTGCCCTGTTAGGGTCATTGGGGTCAACTGCTCCTTCCCCTGCAGAAATAAAACATTGTTATTCTTAGCATTCACTCATCGTGTTGGCATCAGCAAAGCAAGATAAATGTTCTATGGGAAAGACAGGCTTTGTTGTACAGGGGATAATGGCCTTCATAAACAAGACAAAACATATTCTAATATATTCCAAGAGGCTTTTAAAATCTTTCTCTCTCTCTTTTTTTAATATTTTAAGTAATCTCTACCCTCAACGGGGAGCTCAAATCCACAACTCCAAGATCAAGAGTCGCATGTTCCACCAACTGAGCCAGCCAGTCACCCCTTAAAAAGTCTTTGATTTAAACTGTAAAATAACATGGGGGCAGAGATACTCAAAACATGAAAATATTACTAAAAGAGAACTTAATAAAAGAAATTGTTATAAAATACAGCAAGGAATTTGTAATAAATTTGGCTCTTTAATGATTTCTTTTCTTTATGATATAGGTTGACTAATCCCTTTTGATGCATCTAGAGTTTAATTGCTATCTAATTGATTTGTAACCTAGGACACTATGAGTTACAGAACTCTTAATATAGGAAGGGGCTAGTGTAGTTATCTTCCTAAATAAGGTTAAATATTAAGATTATTTTGATCTAGAATAGGAAAACTGAACAACTAAACACAAACCACAGGATAAATAGAAGGCAGAAGCTCTTACCAAGAAAAGACTCCACAGTAGGTACCTCTCCCAGGGATTCCAGTAGTTCATTCAGCAAGTCCTGTTTGTCAGGTGCAATTGCATCCTGGTGTTCCAACAGGAGCTTTATAGAGACAGCAATAAACACAGAGACACAAACAATTAAAAGTAAATTCCTAAGTGCTACCATTTTTACGTCAAGTTCCCTTTCCAGTTTTTCAAGATAATTTTCTTCTAATACTGTTTGATTCTTATTTTTGTTTTTTTTTAAGTAAGCTTTATGCCCAACGTGGGGCTTGAACTCATAACCCTGAGGATCAAGAGTCCCATATTCTACCAACAGAGCCAGTAAGGCACCCCTATTGTTTGAATCTTAATTACAAGTTTGACATTTATTACAATTAGAGAACACAGGGAAACACAGTTTTTAATATTATTTTAGAGGTAAGTGCCTGCTTTACACGAAGAAATTGTAGCTTTGTGAAAGGTGTCCATAAAACCCTCTTTCAGCAAGATCTGGTGAGATATGAGTCCAAGAAGCCTTCTACCACTTAACCCCCTGCTCCAGTCCACCTTGACAGAAAAGGTCAACTGTGGGGAGCAAAGTGCCTAAAATGAGGCAGAAGTCTCTCGGCTAACAATGGTAATAAACTGGAAGCACATTTCCATATCTCTTCAGGGAAAAATTGAGTGGTAATCAAACACTATGGCTATATATTAAAAAAAAGTCACCACTATTAGCTATTTTAATCTGCCTGGCAATTGAAGATCCTTCAAGGGTAGGGATCACAGAAACGCCCATATGGTTCCTTGGCCTGAGACCTAGATGTACCAGATGTTGCTTCTGGTACGCAATCCCCAAAAGGATGCAAGGCGCATAAACAGAGGCATTACATAAGTAGTAAAGGGATAAAAGGACATAGTGACATCTGGAATGGTAGTACGCATATTTCTGGAGGAAGGTACATTAGTGACAGAACAAAATAAGGGATAACTTTTGAGTTCCTGTTCTCTGAAGAGATAGGAGAGCTGATTTGGCTGCTGTCTCTGGGGAGTGAGGATTTAGGCAGCTAGTTTCAACCCTTTATTCTGGCGATTACAGAACAGAAAACTTTCTTGAAAATGTCTCTTTAAAGAGCTTATTTTGAGGGTCTACATGTTCCTTAGAGGACAAGGGGCAAGCAGGGGGTCAGGTTGGGTGGGCTGAGCTGCCGCCAGGCTTCTGTGTAGATGTGGACACCTCCTCGTTTGAGACAGACTGTAAACAGAATAGTCTTTCTCAGCAGTCACAATACTCCCACGTTAGACATCTGCTTCCAGCCTAACACATGAAGACAATCCAAACCCATCACAAGCCAAATTTCCCAGGAAAACTGAAGCCCCTCTTTTAAATTTTTGTTAACAAAAGGAACAGATGATTTCTCCTTAAAGAGTAACAGTCTGAATGAATACAGTAACATTTTTCTCGGCTATCCCTGGGAAAGAATGTTTCATTCTAAAAATAACCCCCCCCCCCCCCCCCGCTTTTTCTGCATGAAAATACTGCCCTCAACAAATGTGTAGCCAGCATGTGGACATCTTTTTGAGACAGATAATCTACCATAAAAAAAAAGATAACAGTCGTTGCCCAAATATGAATGAGTCCACTTGCTCATTAGAGCAATTTTGCAAATGTTGCATTGCTGGACATGTTTTCTGATTTTGAGTGTTTATACATAGAGAAAGGAAGTATAGCCTCTTCATTTGATCAACCAACTCACTCCTTTGGCTGTGAGTTCAGACCCGCCTTTGTTTAAGGTCACTCAAAATACTCAGAGAGAGCTTGTTGCAAATGTCAGGGTGGTTCCTTGTTCCAACCCTGAAAGAGGGAAACCAAAAGCAGATCCAATCTTTCTTCCAAACCTGTATTCAAGCTTTAGTTTGTTAGAAGAGCTTAATAACACGGACTGAAATTTTAGTAGCCAATTTTGCCACCTGTTAGTGTATCTGATTTGATGGGGGCAGGACAGGACCTTTCAGAGGTGTATATTTGTTATGCTTTCCTCCTAGTTGTGTGTATACCCTTAATGAGGGCTTCTTGACCTCTAGTGTGTATCTGCAAAACCTGGGTTCTTGTTAGAGTGTAAGTTCTGATTTGGGAGGTCTGGAGTACATTTCTAAACATGTCCCTAAAACTTCTCCTGGAGGAGCAAGGTGGTAAGCTATTTTCGAAAAGGTTATCTTTTAGGAACCGGGTCTTCCAGAAAATACTTTCCAATTGGTTTAAAAAAAAAACAAAATCCCCAAACAAAAACCCAAAGAAACTCTCAATGCTTAGCCTTTCTTTTTACTTTAAATGGCTGAGGAGCCATCTAAGGCTTTTCCATGCTGAGCTAAGTGTCCTGACCCGAACAGGCACTTAATATTCTTTTCATGGCTGATGGTGGTGATGTTTGCACGCCATCTGGATGGAGACATTGTGACATACCACAGACTATGAAACTGCCTTTGAGAAATGGGATTTTCCAGAACAACAGAAATGATTCTTTGCAGGCGGCTAATGTTGGGTGGGGTGTCCTCTCTTTCCTAACCTTGAACAGTCTATTTTCCCTCTCTTTATGTTCAATATTGGAAGAGAGAGAATATTCTCATTATCCCAGAATTTTACTGGAAAAGCTGGGAAGATTCTAGAAAGGGGAAGAGAAATAGTGTGGGGGTTCAGGCAGTGTAGCCCTGGTGGGTAGAGGAAATAGCAGGGCCTGTCCCTGCTCAGGACTTAAACTTGACATTCACAATCTGACTTTGTCAACAGACCATGTAAGAAGTAAACTTTTCTGATTTGGGGGGAGTTTTATTATGTACTAGAGGGAATAAATGCACCATGTAAAAAGTAAATGTGGCTTGTTTGGGAAAAGGAATCTTATTCATGTATAAGTCAGAGAATAAATAATTGAAGGTTTCTTAGGATTCTGAGTATTATTAGCACATGCTTACAGGAAGCCCCATAGAGACTAAGCATTTTCAACAAAATGGCATCTGAACCGAGCTAAGACCCTTTTCCAGCCCCACTTACTGAATGTGTGCTGATGATTTCTTCAATTGAAATATAAATGACTGGTTTGCTGACTGTCACCACATCTGTGTATTTATCCATATTAAACTTTTCTTCTGGCTCAGGGACATTACAGGCTTCTTTGAAATATTTCCTAACAAAGAAAACAAATTCTTAAGACAGAGTTCAAATTTCTGAGGTAAATAGCTTTGTCAAAACACTGAGGAAATCATGAATTATGACTAGTGCTTTATTCTCCATCCCAAACTATGTGTGTGTGTGTGTGTGTGTGTGTGTGTGTATGCTGGGGAGAGGGGGACCTGTTACATCATCTTCCAGAATGGCTCCTAACTATATGGAAGCTGAGTCTAGGCTTCTGTATGTTGGACCCAGCTCCTCGAGCAGGATAGAGAGCAACATAGCCTCAGGTTCTGCTAGTGACTCAATGTAGTCAAATTACGGTTATTTTAAAAAATGTTATTTTGAAAACAGGGCCCCTGAAATTTAGACAAAAATGTCAAGACTGATAGTCTTTGATCTAAGAATCAAGTCTTTCTAGAGAAAATAATCTGTAAAGCAATTTATCAAATGTGCTACTTTATTTTTAAAAAGATTTTATTTATTTATTTGAGAGAGAGTGAGGGAGAGAGAGCACAAGCAGGGAGAAGGAGAGGAAGAAGCAGACTCTCCTGCTGAGCAAGGAGCCCGATGTGGGGCTCAATCCCAGGACCCCGGGATCGTGACCTGAGCCAAAGGCAGACACTTAACGACTGAGCCACCCAGGCGCCCAAATGTGCTTTTTTAAAAAAA